CATTAAAATGTAGTTTAGGCATTTTGTATATTCTCCAGTAAGCAAATATTGACAGCTAGGTCGTAAACATATATGGCATATATTTTATTTTATTCTATTTGCTTTTTGGGTCACACCCGGTGATGCTCAGGGGTTACTCCTGGCTCTGCACTCAGGAATTACTCCTGGCGGTGCTCGGGGTGACCATATGGGATGCTGGGAATCGAACCCAGGTTGGCTGCGTGCAAGGCAAACGCTCTACCCGTTGTGCTATCGCTCCAGCTCCATATGGCCTATATTTTAAAGGTAGAAGCAATACTAGATTTTTTTACTTAGGTGAGTAACAGACTGGATATATAAAGGTAAACTGATTTGAATTTGTCATTCAGGGTATGTTGTTAATGTTATAAAACCAAATTATGCTTAGACAATGCAAAAGCATGTACTAGATAACCTAAATATTATATTTTATTTTAGTCTGTAAATCTTGAAGTTTACAGAACATCTGATTATTGTTTATTCTTGGGCCACAGTTATCTGTGCTCAAGGATTACTCCTGGCGGGCTCAGGGGACCCTATGGGGTGCCAGGGATTGAACCTGGGCCAGCTGCATGCAAGGCAAACACCCTACCTGCAGTGCTATTGCTCCTAGCTACGTGCTCAGATTTTTAATGTCAAATGGTTATTGGTGCATACATTTTAGACAGTTTTACAACTATCTTCTAAACAAAAAGTTCTCCAGCTTTTCCCGAACTGAGCTTTTAAAGGGTCACTCCTTTGCAGATCTGACTCTTGTAACATCAGCCCTCAATTAAAACAAAGTAAGACGTTACCAAATTCTTTCCCCAGGATGTTATTTTAATTCTTTGTTTGTTTTGTTTTGGGGCCCACCCAACAATGCACAGGGCTCATTCCTGGCTCTGCTCAGGGATTACTCCTGGCGGGGCTCAGAGATCATATGCAGTTACATAGTACTCCGTATATGAAAGAGAAGAAACCACCTTGCAAAAGGGGAGGGGAGAGAGCACATGCGGGAGAGCAAGAGAGCACCAGACAGACAGACAGACAGACAGCTGTCAGTCTCTGTAGTGTATAAAGCCAACCACCTTATTTGCAGAACTCTCTGCTCAGTTCTCTGGCTCCTTGGGAATGTGGTTTTTTTTTTTTTTTTTTTTTTTTTTGCTTTTTGGGTCACACCTGGCAATGCACAGGGGTTACTCCTGGGTATGCACTGAGGAATCACTCCTGGCAGTGCTCAGGGGACCCTATGGGATGCTGGGAATCGAACCTGTGTTGGCTGCTTGCAGGGCAAACGCCCTACCCTCTGTGCTATCCCTCCAGCTCTAGGAATGTCTTTTTCGAATGATAAATTGCCCTTCTCCGTGGCTGTTTGGTTTTATGTCAGATTTTGCTTTTAATGTTTTGCTATAAACTGTCCTCTTCTTTGCACCTGGGTTGTCCGGTGGGCATTGTTTCATCTTTCTTTGCACTGTCCAAGACTGCTTCTGACTTGTTTCTTTTTCTTCCTTTGTTTTTGTTTTTTTGGGTCACGCCTGGTGATGCCCAGGGGTTACTCCTGGCTCTGCACTCAGCAGTTACTCCTGGCGCTGCTCAGGGGACCATATGGGATGCTGGGAATCGAACCTGGGTCAGCTGTGTGCAAGGCAAACGCCCTCCCCGCTGTGCGATCTCTCCAGCCCTGACTTGTTTCTTGTATCCCTTTCATGATTCCAACATTTTCCCTCGGGAAAACCTGTTTTGAACCTTTCTTTTTTTCTTAAATAAAATATCATTTTCTTGTCATTATCTTTGAAACAGAAACTTCTCGGTTCCAAACTGAAGCTTAAGTTCTCTCTCAGGTAGGGCTGGAGGTTCTGGGCTCACCAATGTTTTGTCTCTGTTCTTCCTATTCTTTCTACTCTTTCGTGGGATTGGCACAGCTTGCTTGTTTTTAAAATCTTTCCAGCTTTTTTTTTTTCCTTAAATCTCTATCTTGGGCCGTGCCCCATGTTGTTCAGGGCTTTATTCTGGTTCTGCGCTTGGGGATCACGCCTGGCGGTATTCAGGGTCCCACTTGGGATTTAGGGCCCCATATGTGCTGCTGGGGGTCGAACCTGGATCAGTGGTGTGCATGGCAAATGCCTGTCCCATTTTTTTTTTAGAATCACTCAGTCTAAAAATGGTCTCGGAAGTTGTATAAGAGTTTATCTCTGCCTGTAATATTGGCTTTATCTCAGTTCTTCAGACGCAAAGGAAAGGCCGTTTATATCCTCTTAAGCATGCTGTTTATACTTTCAGGATGAGTTTATGCTTGCTTTGTTTATGATGCAATTAGCTATAATACAGTGCTTCACATTCATTCTCCTAGTGGAATGGTGGGGAAAATTAGTCTTTAATGCTGTTTTAATCAGTAAAATAGAATTAACGGTTTTCTTAAAGTTATGGCCGATGTGGCATATTGACATATTGAATACTCTCGGTGGCTTGCCAGGCTCTCCGAGAGGGGGGGAGGACTCGAACTCGGGTTGGCCATGTTGGCCGCTTGTAAGGCGAACGCCCTACCGCTGTGCTATCGCTCACAGTATGCCAAACACAGTAACAACAAAGTCTCCAATGGAGACGTTACTGGGCCCGCTCGAGCAAATCGACGATCAACGGGAGGGCCTTAAGTAAGTAAGTAATGGCCGATGTGCTTAACATAGAATCTTTATAAAAGATTTTTCAATCGATGTCAAGTAGTCTGGCTCTCGTTTGGTTTTGTCCTGGGCCACACCCAGAGATCGACCCTTGGGTCACTACTGGCTCTGTTCAGGGGTCCCTCGAGCACTGTTTGGGCCCATATGTGATGCTGAGGATTGGGCTCGGGTTGGGCCGTGCTCGGCAAGTGCCTTACCCTGTTGTTTCCTCTGCAGCCCTCTCTTCTTCTACGGGATGTCTTGGGAGGGCTTCCCTGTGTTCCTGTTGTTCTCCACCCCTTCCCATTTTTTAATTTCCCAGCAGTAGAAAGGCTGAACTGCCTCGTTAGGAAATTCTGCTTGTGCTTGTCTCTTGCTGTCTTTTCAGTTAATGCACAGTTAATGCACGTTTAGCTTGGGGGCTGAGTTTGGATTATTTTTTTCCCTAAGACACAACTCTTCACTTGTTGATTATTCTTTGGTCAGAGTCAGCTTCCAGTGTAACACACAAGGGATTACGAGCATGATTAGGAAAAGAAAGAGAGGAATGCTTCCTTGTATTAAACAAGAATTGCTGCTTTTATGACCGATCCAGGGATAAAGCGTTGATGGCTTTTATGTTTATGTTCTTAAAAATAGAACAGTGATTTTCTGTTAGTATGATCGTGCAAATGGAAATGAGCTGGAAGAGTAACAACCAATTTTTTGGGTGGTGCAGGTCCACACCCAGCAGTGTTTAGGGGTTACTCCTGGTTCTTCACTCAGGAATAATTCCTGGAGGGCGCAGGGATCATATGGGATACTGGAGATCGAACCCAGGTCTGCTGCATGCGTGGCGCCTTACCCTCTGTGCTGTTGCTCTGGCCCCATCAACATACGTATTTTTTTAACTTGATAAAGCCACTAAATGACGGATCACTTTAGCGGACATGTGTTCCAGTACATAGAGGTCACGGTGTCTACTGGGCCTGAGAGACTTTGGGTTCGAGTCTTGAAATGGTTATGAGTTGGTGGAAAGCTGTTTGTGGAGCTGGAAGGAGGATGAAAATGTACCTCAGGAAGTACTTGGCGTCTTTTTTCCCCTCTGCTGTTTGGTTTTGATGGAGTGCGGTCATCAGCCATTTAATTTCCCCTCATCTCCAAAATGCTGCTGTCTCTAGTGAGGTACCGGTTCTTTTTCCGTCTTGAGTGTGGGGGACCGCAGTGCGGGGGGAGGGTGGCAGCTCCTGGGCTGCTTGGTAGTGCTCCCAGGATCCCGTGGTGCCAGCGATCCAACCTGGGTGGCCTGCATATGAAGCGCGTCTAGCCCAGTCAGCTTCCTCCTAGGCTGGGCGTATGGTTTTGGGTGCTGACTTGGTCACGAAGGGGCGAGAGTACCCAAAATGACCTAGTAGACACAGGTGAGCCTGGTGAGGCAATCCTGTGTTGAAGGAAATGACGCTTAGACTTCATAAGATTTCACTTGTCACTTTTTCTTTGTGGGTTTTTTTTTTTTTTGGTATTTATTTTGTTTTGGCCACATCTGGCAGGCCTCAGGGCTTATTCTTTGTGCTCAGGGATCATTCTTGGAGGTTCAGGGTCGAACTCAGGCCAGATTTCACTCTTTCTGCAAAGTAGGGGCGAGTTTGGCCTGGTGGTTAAGACCAGAGATTTTCAGAGTGAAATACCAGTCTTGTAGATAGTTACACAGCGCGCAGTATCTTTTCCTCATTTGGAAAAAGAAACAGTAAGATTTCTGTGCCTTTTCCCCTTAGTTGAATAAAGTTTTGTGTGGTACCAACATAAAATTTAATTTAAACTAAGTAAATTGTGCTAGCAGATAAAGTATAGTAAGTTTTTTTAAATAACATTTTAAAATGGTGATTAAAATAACAATAGTCCTGGACTGGAGAGAGGTCAGTGGGTTTGGAATGCATGTTTTTCTTGCATTACAAGATCCAAGTTCAGTCCCCAGCAAGCATATGGTCTCTTGTGCAGTGCTCTGCCCTAAACAAAAACAAAAAAATGCCCAAGGAGTAATCGTGTGTGTGTGTGTGTGTGGAGCTACTCCCAACCGTGCTCAGAAATCACTTGGGATTTGGGAAAGGTACAGTGCCAGGGTTGAATTTAGGCCAGCTGGCGGGCACTTTTCTTAACGTACTGTCTTCCCTTGCCTCCTTAAAGAAAAGGCAGGAGTTCTGGGACTGAGATGTGCTGAATTTAGCCTATGAAATTCAGTTGTGTTTAATAGGTACAGTGGAGCCTCGACACCTCTCTGTACTTCACGAGACTGTCTTGGGTAACTTGTAAATCGTTTTCTTTAGAAGATGACTCTGCTGATCGCTTGTCTTTTTTCTCCCTTCACAGAAAGCGTGGATACGCATCAGCGGAGTTTTGATATTGGAATTCAGATTGGCTATCAGCGGCGCAATAAGGATGTGTTGGCTTGGGTCAAAAAGCGCAGAAGAACTATTCGCAGAGAAGATCTGATCAGCTTCCTGTGTGGAAAAGTCCCTCCGCCACGAAACTCGCGCGCTCCCCCGAGACTGACTGTAGTGTCCCCTAACAGAGCTGCTTCGACGGAAACTAGCTCATCCGTAGAGACTGATTTGCAACCCTTCCGGGAAGCCATAGCTCTGCATGGTAAAGCCGTTTAAACATTTCTTGGGCAGAATGGTTAAGGGTGTGCCGTGGACCCATTTTCGCATTGAGCTCCCGGTCCAGGTCCACGGTTGGCTCGTGGCCTAGGGCAGCGACCGCTTGGTCCAGACATGTCTAATAGAATGCTAGCCGAGAACCTCTGGGCAGCTGTGGAATGTTAGCTAGCCAATTCTAAAAGATGTTTCCAGAGTGTTAGCGGAGCTGACCGGTGTTACTCCATAACAGAACCTTCTGCTACATTCGAATTCACTTTACACTTTATGTGTTTTCTTAGTTTCCTAAGTCAAAGAGGAGGATCTCTGTCTTCTGTTTCACTCAGATTGCCTGGAGAGCCTCGTCAGGGACTGGTCGTTCAGACCGGCTCTACAGGGACTCAGCTCGGTGCCCTCAGTTCCTTTGAGAATGTCTGGAGAGTGCCAGAGTTGACCAGGGGGAATGGATGGACGGAGGGCCGTCAGCTTCCCTCATCACTTGGCTAGTCAGGACTGTCGGAGAACGGGCTCGTCACCTGCCCCCAGGAAAGGCCTGCCCGAAAGAGGCGATCTTCGCGTTTCCTGAGCAGCCTGGGGATTGAGTGAATCAGAGTGTGGCTGGTTGGTCTAGACCCGGCTGAAAAACAAGACCTGGTGGAGGAGATGGGCTGTGCGGGTGACTAAGCGATGAGAGTCGGGCGAGTGAGTTAGGTCGTGAGTTCTGTCAAAAGAGAACCCGTTCCGGGCCATAGTATAGGTTATTTCGATCTAAGTCATCAAAATCATGAGTTATCAAGAGCTTTTGTACCATTGAAACAAATGCTTCTTGTCAAATCTTGATGCTGAAAATCACTGTGAGAATGATGAGACTGGAAAAAACTGGGCTTTTTATTTTTTCTTAAAAGGCAGGGTGGAGGGCTGGAGTGATGATAGTACAGCAGGTAGGGTGTTGGCCTGCACGCGGTTGGCCCGGGCTCGATCCCGCCTGTTCCTCAAGCACTGCCAAGAGTAACTCCTGAGTGTGTAAATGTAGAGCCAGGAGTAACCCCTGAGCATTGCTGGGCGTGACCCAAAAAGCAAAAAAAAAAAAAAAAAAAAAAAACCAGAATCAAAAGGCAGGGTTAAGAGCTAACTACAGCCACTATTATTTTATTTCATTGTGTGTTTTTTTTTTTTTTTATTTGTGGGTCATACCTGGTGGTGCTCGGGGCTTTCTCCTGGCTCTGAGCTACCGGATCACTCCTGGTGGAGTATTGGGAAACAGAGGGTAGTTGGGATTGAACCCCTGTGCTGGCCATTACAAGGCAAGTGCCCTATCCACTGTACTTACTGCACCCGCACCCCCCCACACACACACACACGCACGTTGTGAGATTTTTTGGATAGGTGGGGAAAAAAATTTGCTTCAGGAAAGGTACGGATGAATGTAGTACTTTAAATTTTAATCAGTGAGTTCCACATCTGGAAAAAGAGAAGTGTATAGTTTGTCAGGTTCTTAGTATATGATGGCTGGTACGGCTGTCTCCTGAGTTTCATCCTTTCTACTGTGGGTTTATGATTCATTCCAGACTTCTTGCTCTCCTCTCTTTTCTATATTACTGTGTACATTCTAGAAGATTTAAGAACCATGAAAGGCACCTTAATAATGTAGTTGTATACATTGTAAAAAAGCCCAAGCCAGCTCCCCTCCCAACAGCTTTTCTATGCCCCAATTTTGTTACATTTGCTGAACAATTTGTTTAACATATGACTTATTATTTTTCATACCTTAGTTTTTAGGAAGAGACTATTTGTAATTTTTGACTTAGTTTAAGGAAGGGTTTGAAAAAGTTTACTTATAGAGCTCTGTTAGCAAAGTGGTCCTTTCCTTCAATAAACTTAAAGTAGCAATAATTTTAGAATATATTGGAGACTCAGTGTACTCATTTCTAGGGGGTTTGCACACTAAATTCCTGGAATTGAAGGTGTGGTGAAGCTACAGGAACCTTCCCTCTCTTAGAAAAAGCACTTGGAAACATGTCATACAGGGTTGGGTTTTTTTGTTTCGTTTTTTGCTTGTGAGGAACCTGAGAGTCTTAGGAGAAGAACACTCATCTGATTTGAGCATTTAAAATGAACTGTCCTCTAGTTATAGTGTTGACTAAATTAAAATGGGCTTGAACGACTTTCTGCAACCAGTTGTCCTCACGATCAGCTCTACTGAATACGTGTATTAGAAGTGAAACTGTTCAGATGCTCTTTTAGAATGTAGTTGGGGACTGGAGCGATGTACTGTGGGTAGGGCATTTCTTTGCCTTGCATGTGGCCGACCTGGGTTCGATCCCTGGCACCACCTGTGGTCCCCCAGCACTATCAGGAGTGATCCCTTGGTGCAGAGCTTAGAGTAACCCACGAACACCGCTGGGTGTTTTCCAAAAAAACAGAAAAGTGTTTGCGAATGGCTTTTTAGGGTAGATAACTTTGCAAAATCCGGTTTTACATATAGTTTGCTTAGCCAGATCTATGATCTGTATAATACAAGTCAAGTCAAATTTAAGTTCTTGGGATTCTACACAGGAGATTTTAAATTTATGAAATTTTGGAGTGCAGAGGAATGAGGGAGGTTGTGTCGATTTATTTCCCACAGCCCTCCTTACTTCTTTCACGGAGGACAGTTCCCATTGCAGCATTTCATCAGCTCTTTAAGTAAATGCTCACCTACACCGTAAGCTCCGAAAAGATACCTGAAAGATGTTCTTTATGTGCAGAAGAATGACAGACACAAGATACTTGAGTATTTGTTGTGGACAGGTGAGGTGTGATAATGAGTAAGAGCTAGTCAGTGCGTGCCTTCATTAGCCATCGACTCTAAAAAGCACACAACTGGAGCCAGAGCTGCCAGTGATTATGGAGGCGTCACGGGCATGATCCAGTGTTTGGTTTGGTCCTTGGTCCCTGCAAATAGCTCATTTTCTGCACCATTGGATAATCATCTGACTGTCGCACGTACCACAAAATCAGAGAAACACAGAAGCATGTGCTCAGTCGAATTCTGTTCTTGTTAGTCCTTAAAGTCTTTTTTTTTTAAAGTACTAAGAGCTGAATTAATAACTGATGTTTTGCTAGTAAGAGACTTTTTCAGATCCACCCGTAGTCATCTAGTCATCGTTTACGGTTCTGTTTACCTTCCTGAGTCTCCCTTTGCTAGTCATGCCTTTTCTTGGAGGGTGCTTTGCTTCTTTGACTTCTCTGGCCTTTCCCAGGGTCACTGACTTAGATCTTCGCAGGGTGTGGGCCTCAGGCTGTTCTGTCAGGATGTCACAAGGGCCTTTGTCTTAGAGTTTCAAAGTGAACTCATCTCAGTGGCAGTAGATGTGTGTCTCCTCTGGAGCAACTCAGCAGGGTGTGTGTGTGTGTATGTAAAATCAGATTCTGGGGAATCCCTGGGAGTGTATAAAATATGTGATTAGAAGACTTCCTATTCTCTTGAGGCCTACACATAAAACAAGTGGATAGTTTATTTTAATGTCACGAACATGGTATGTGTAAGATGCTCTGGGGTCAAAAAGACACTTCATAGGACCAGCTGCCACCGGCTGCCATGGGTTCAGGAAAGGTTCCTTGAGGAGATGGGACTCAGACTCTTGAAATAACTTTCTGCTTTTCTAGTTCTGAGTTGACCCATTCAAGAGTCTTTTTCTTCTAAGACAGTGAAAGAAATCTTTTCATTAAGAAAAAGCTTTTGGTCTGCAAAACTCGTCCAAGGGTTAATGCACTTAACCTTGTACAGGGCCAACTAGGGTTCAGGACCCAGCACTGCCTTTGGTCTCTTGAGCACCACCAGGAGTGATCCCTGAGCACAGAGCCAAACATCAAAAAGTAAGAATAACTGGTTTTCCTGGTGCCATAGTGTGAAGAGCTCTGTAAGGGACTCTTGGGCTTTGCTGTTCAACGTTGATTACCTCCTTGAGCTGTTTTGTACCACACCCACCATTGCTCAGAGGTTCCTCCTGGCTCTGTGCACAGGGATCACTCCTGGCAGCTCTAGGGAGCATATGCGATGCCCGGGACTAAACCCAGATTGGCCTCATGCCAGCACGCAAGGCAAGTGCCCTCCCTGCAGTTCGAGTGCGCCAGCCCCTCCTGGAGCTTTCTAAGAGCTTTTTACTGTTTCTCTTTGGTCTTTGTGCTGAGGCTTTCCTTCATTTTGTGTAAAACCTGAACAGTGCTGTCCCTTCCCCCTAGGTGGGGGTTACATTAGGGCAGGGGCCTTGCCTTAAGACTTCCGACTTGAGGGGCTGGAGCGATAGTACAGTGGGTAGGACGTTTGTCTTGTACGTGGTCCACCCGGGTTCAATTCCCAGCATCCCAGATGGTCCCCTGAGCATTGCCAGGAGTAATAACTGAGTGCAAAGCCTGTACATCATCAGACGAGACCAAAAAAGCCAAAAAAAAAAAATGGGCTTCTGATTTGAACTGAACCGAGCAAGACCCTGGTGTTAGGAGGTGGTTTGAAGATCCCAGGTTTAGTGTCCTGTTAGTGAATGGCCACAGCCCAGTGGGAGCAGGGCACCTTTAGACAGATCGTAGACTCCCAGGGACCTGAGATCAGGGGAGAATCTGGAACAGGCACTTCCAGATCACTGTTGGGACTTGGGAAGGAAGAGTTTGTATTTCGGTGTTAACTCGGTGTCACGCATCCCAATTAGAATGTGCTCTTGTCCAGTCCTTTAGACGGCCCTTAGTTTGGATTATTTTGTTAACAAAGGATTCTTCGGCCCCGATTGAACAGAACGGTTAGTAGTAGAGTAGATCTTCAGATCTGTCTGATTAAAGAGGCCACTGCCCCACTTCCTGTCTCAGTGAAGAGTTTCCCCCTTTCATGGAGGTTTCAAGTTGACCGGAGTGTTTCTCCGCGCTGTGTTTCTGCTTCGTCACTGCAGCCCCTGTATTACTTGGGGCGAGATGAGCACTTCTTGAGGCAGTCTTCCTTTGTGAAAGGTGATTTATTCAGAAGTTGATTTGTTCGTA